GCAAATTATTTAATGAACTGAGGGAGTTGGCACGATACAGACAATAGAACATTTTTGTGGATAGACTAAGTTTCTAATTTTGTGTTTGTTTTTTTTTTTTTTTTTTTTTTTTTTTGTTTTAAGAACATGTCTTAATAATAGTAATATTTTTCGAAAAGAACGCTAGTTTTGAAATTTTGGGTTTTTAAACTTGTTTTAAGGTTATTGTTTTGCTAAAATATAGTGAGTATACAAATATAATAAAGACTATCCCTACATTGACAGCCTAATTTCGTACCACTAAACAGCACCCTATATAATCATAGCATAGTAAATGAACAGCTGGATACCTCAACGTCTGTTTATCATACATTTCTTTTTACTCGCCTTCTACTTTTACTATTTAAATGGAAATGTAGGTGAATTGGAAAATTCTTATCCTGGCACACAACTTGCTATTAATATATATGTTTGTGTATATATATGTATAAATGTATGAAAGTGTGTGGCGAAATGAAATTCGATTGATTTAAGGATTAAAATGTCGAATAAATGTTAAACTCATGCAATAATAAATTCACACTGCATGTTTATGTGTGCATGTTGGTATGTGCTGTGTAGTGAATAAATGCGTTTTATGTGCGAAAATATTACAGCTGCTAAGCTCACTTGAAATCGGAGCATATGTAGATATTGTTTGAAGCTATTTGCCGCTTTAAAGTATATTGGCTCACACACGTTTGTTTCAGCATTTATATTTGTGTGTGTGTGTGCGTTGAGTGCATTAGGCATATCTCTTTTGTGTAGCGCCCTGTTGTTGTCTGCGCTTTGTAATTAACTGAAATTTAATTAAATTTCAACACCACTCAGTTACTTACATAATTGCGACTCGTCACGGCTAATGTGTGTGGCAAATGGTTTTTGCTCTGCAGCCACACACACACTCATACGGTTGTTGCTTTCCGGTCGTCTTTTACTAAGTGAAAGAAACAGAAGAATGCGCAGTGTTATTAAGTAAGATAAGCGTAGCAAAGAGCTGTGGGAAAATTTACAATAAGTCTTGCTTCATTTAACTGCGGTTTCACTTTCCTTTTCGATTTTAGCTAAGTTACAAAAACAACAAAATACTGAAAACTATATGCGTGTCATCTTTGAAGAAAGACTTTCAAAATTGGTGTACAAATATTGATTGAAAGTGATTCGGATGTGTTATTACGTAGATATGTATGTATGATGGATGAAGTTATAGTTTAAGCAAAGTTCAAAATTTTGATCGTTTTTGGACTGCTACCAACGATTTCTGATCAGATAAAAAAACTGGTATATCATTATATGGAGAGCTATATACATAACACGCAGAAATATATGATATTGATCGCATTATTTGTCACAGAGTAATTATTCAAGCAGAATTGAAAAATGTACTTTTGAGAAAAACGGTTTTAAAGATAAACTGATGAAGGGTGTAACTCAAAAACGATTTGAGATAGCGACTTACAATATTAGTATAATAGTTCAAAGGTATAACCTAATGAAATATGAAAAAAATCGACTTTTTTGGTTTCACACTAGGTTTGCCATTTGAGGGAATATTTCTTAAACATAGCTTACATAATTATTCTATATAACTCTCATGGAATTTTTAGTTTTCATGTAAAAGGAGACCACAATCATAGCGAAGGTCGTGGTACTGATTTTCGACAAATAGTGCTTTAATCTCCACAATATGGTTGCATTTAAGAGGCTACTGAAAAAACTATTATCTGATAAACGGCGTCTTATAACAATATACGCTTAAAATGAGTGATTTGTTTGTAGGAGATCTCAACAATAAAGTTCAGCTTACAATAGCATCTAACTGAATTGCGAATCTGCGCTTCAAAAGTTTTGCCGCATTATTTCTTCAGAGTTTTAACCTTGTGCTGAAGCTGAACTGCAGTGCAACGACTTACATTCAATCAGTGCTGCATACCTAATATATTTATTAGTTAAATCAACAAAATATAAAGTTAAAACATTCTAATAGCTGAACTTCAATCCAAGCCTAAGTAATTAAGTATTTATTACTGAGTATATTCAACATATGCATTGAAATACAGCAAAATATAGTCAAGTTCGCTTTATAACTCTATTATTTGCACTAATATATAAATAATAATGACATATATTTAACAATACCTTTCCAGCAACAAGTATATAGGGCGACTCTGTCCTACGTAATGCAACTTGAGACCCATGAGTGTAACTCTCGCGCCTCACAACTACTGCAGCACCGCAAAGCAGCTTTGCGAAATGCTCTTAACACACACAGATACAAATCAGCACACACGAAGTGACACAATTTAATGCACTTTCCACGGCAGTGTTGCATGCGGTAAGCGGCGTGTCTTTGAAATCTTTCAACTACTTTCCTTACATTCGTCAGACGCATTGATGACAGCAATAGCAGCAGAAGCAGCGGCAACAAATCCGCTTAGTTATGTCCTACCGAACTGATGCTCAGTATATTTGATGTCTCACTGATCACTCCCATAGCGGACGGACACTAGTTGCCGGTGAGTGCCTCCTACTCCAGGATTTGCTGCCAATGCATTGTTTGCTTATTAGTGGCATGCACCTGGTGTGCTGAGTGTGGCACACAATAAGGACGTTAAGCAACTCAAAGGATATTTCTCCTTATGTGTATCTGTCTGTACATCTTCACAGCAGAGATTTATTTGCATACACACACACACCTACACTCATTTATCCGCTCAATATTGACTCAAGCAACAGAGTTGCATTGTGTTGCAACTTCATTGTCTATTCTGTCACATTACATCCAAGATGCAAATCTGCTTGGAATCCCTATTCTTTGCTGCTTATTTGTTTGTTTGTGTGCTTTGCAGGATTTTCATTAACGTTTACCTTGTTCGGCTGCTTGAGAAGTCATTGGAGCGTGATTTTGTTGAGCGCTAAAAAACAAAATGCTTTGAAATCATTAAGGATCTTGTAAGTGGTAAAACTCGAATTTCATTGTGTCTTTTGTTGCAAATTTTTGAAGCGGTTTTGGTCGATTAGCTGTTTGGTGCGGCAGATGCATTTATTTATCTATAAATAATTGAATATCCAAACTACAACAAGCAAAGCAGCTTGGAGCTATTTTTGTGCAAATTTATTTAATTTTTTAGCTTTCATTTCAGTTTCAAATCCACACAGATTAAGCACGGCTTTGCGTTATTTTCGCACCAAATTTCGTCACTAAATATTTGATTAACTGTTACCTTTTTTTGCAACTTCGTAATTTATTTATTTGCCATCAGTCTGCTGGTCCTGTTGGTTTTGATTTAGTTTGCATTAAACGAAGTGTGTTAAAAAAATAACGGAAATTTTAAAATTAAAATTTCGTGGGTTTGAAAAGTGCAATTACCAATTTGTTTCATTATGTGGGTATATACACAACTGAAGTACGAAAAAGTTTTCAGCAGCCGCTAAGGTTAGACGTGATTTTCTTTTATTAAAAGCTTAAAATTCGTTGTTTTTTGGTAAATTCTTAGCCAATAACAATACTGTAACGATGGTTCAGCCGCTATATTCGCCAGACTCCGTGGCTCGGTGTGACTTTTTGCGAGTTTCCATAATAAAGAGAGGCCCGTGATATTGCGTTATCTGAACTTAAAGGTGTAAAAAAAAGACCTTGATTTATCGATAATGGACTTTGCGTTTTTCAAAAACAGGAAACGGAGTAATTTCGATTCCAAAAATAATTCACCATGCTTAAGTTGCCAAAAAACTTACGGGTGAAATATCTTTCTTGATGGAATTGGAGATGTAATAAATCTGTGTATATGACGATTGATCGAAAATGATTGACAATACCTCTCTCAAGTAATCAATTTGCCGTACTCTATACTTTTCAGTCAGAAGTATGTACTTGTTCAATGATATTTTCAGTTAGCCAAACAGCACTTCTGACATCAACATATCTTCCAAAACTGAAGAGAACAATAATCTCAACTCTATGGACACAATGAATTTTTGTCTATATTAGTTAGATTTCGTACCTTAAGAATATATAACAACTGAAATATATATAATTATAATCAAAATTTCGGAATCACAAAACAGTCTCGCCCAAGTGGGACAAGACAAAATTGACAAGCTTCTAAATAAGTAAAAAAAAGAGGCGAATTCAAGTTAAATTTATTACCTTAACGACTAAAATTAATAAACTTCAGTAGTAGCCAGCAAAGTGTCATATAAAAAAGGAATTTCTGGGTATTTGTTTCAGAAATAAATGCCATGTTTTTTTAGTAGAAAATAAAATATTCAACTGGGCTTTCGTGATATTACCATCACCACCACCGGAGTATATCATACAGAACAAAATCAGTTTGATATTTTGTAGCTTGTATGGCCCCAACCTGTGATGGTAAAATATGAAATGAAAATGCGAGTTATTTTATAAAAATATATTTTTTATTTGACATTTTGTTACTTTTTCATTTACTCTACTGTTTTATCACAACTTACGAGACTGGCGCGTGTTTGTTGTGCTCAGTTGACAGACAAATAGTTTTTCGTTGCGCTCGAATTGCCACAGTTACACTTTGTTTGTTTTGAATTTCATTTATTTACTTAGTATGTGATGCAGACATGCCACTACCGTTATGTAAATAAACAGTTATCCCTGGACATCGTATACCTGTAAATAAAACAATATCGATTGGTGTAAAAGTTAAAGGGAAACTATTTTGACTACTGTTTGTTAGTACTGTTTTAAAGGTAAGACTGAAAATGTCCGCAGATTTAGTCGTAGATATCTCATCGAAATCAGCTTGCGATTTTTTAAGTAATTCTGTTGCCTACATTTTGACATTCTGGAAATTTTTCAAAAACAGATGATATACTGTAACCTTATACTATTATACGATCGAAATATTTATTGTGAGCAAAAAAGCTAAAAAAATGTATATAACGAACACGTAAAAGCACTTACCCATCATTATTTAATTTAAATTTTTTTTCATGTACAATATAAGAATATCAAATAACTTATTTAAAAGTGCCAGGCAACAAACCCCCAGCGTAGCAACTTAAAGAAACTCGATAGTTAAATAAAATTAGAATCAATGACACGTTAGGGAGCAACGTCGATGAAAAAAGTATGCCACAAAATGGAAAACAAACTTTTGTAATAAAATACCAGCCATTAAATAAAGGAAATTATTCGCAACGAAGCAGAAGAACCAACAAGTAAGTCAATATCGGCAGGACATACAACCGCACATCAACAAAAGTTGTGGCAGTGACGGCAGAGAAAGGTGGTGGATAAGCAATAAACAAACATTGATAAATCATTAAAAATTCATTGATGACAGCATTTTGCTATTAAAATAATAATAACTCTGATGTTAATAGAATTACTGGGTGGCAGAGAAAGCAATTATTGGCTTAAAGGTAAGTTTTATTTTGGAGGCATTGAGAGCTGTATAAGCTTATAACATTTTTTGAATAAATGTGCTCAAAATTAGTCACAGCTGAGGTTGAGTGTCATCAGCCAATCAGAGCTTTGATATATATACGTATGTAAAAAAGACTAAACTTTTCGAGTACTTGGTTGGTAGATAAGAAGAATATGTACACTATGAATGTTAATCGAAACTTTGGTACCGAGCATAGCGTTTATCACGATTGATCGTAGATTTCAATGCTATATATTCGGTATATTTACTATATAAAATATATAAAAAGTGTTTTCAGAACTAAAAACTAAAGCATATTTCTCACTCTTTCTCTCACTGTCGCACTATTGCTGGGGGCCCAACACTTGTAAGTAAAATAGCTATAAGAAAGTCAATAAAAACGACTATAGAGGAATTCTAGAAATGATCAAAGTTCCGTCCAATGTCATGACAACAAAAACAAGCAAATGTAGTGAGTTGCTGATCTCCAAAAATACGCCGTTTGTCGTAATATATTCAAACTGTGTAAGTGTTGTGAGTATGGACCAAAGCGAGACAACTGAAATACTCACTAAGAAAGCCTATTTTAGGAAGCTTAAGAATTAGCATCTTTAGAGAAGATGATTGTTACTCACTTTACTTATTTGTAACTTAAGTGCAGATTAGATATGTGGGTATCAAAACTTCTGGTATAAATTTGAAGTCACCCTTCCTCTATCCAATTATTAAACTGAATAAATTCTCCTTTGACAAGAAGTTTGTAATACACAGAAGAAATCGTCAGAGTCATATTTTCCATTCTTACTTAAATAGCCGCGCTCTGAGATTAAGACTTAGTCTTTTAACTCTTTATGTGAAATTTTTCCGTGCAGATGATTTTAGAGAGGCAACGTTATCACCTTCAGATATATTTTACCAAAAAGTTGGACATAAGTAATAATATCTTGTTTTGTTCTAAATATAAACTTTTTATACATTTAGCTAAAGCACTGAGAAGCAACTCAATATGCTAGAAAGTATAATTGAAATCCAAAGTATATGTGACCCACAAACTTGTGGTTGGCTGATTTCACAATATTATCACAACTGTTAGGCGCCTGTGGTTATTAAACACAATAACTGTAATCTTCGCACAGCGCAACCACCAGTTGCATTTAACAGCTTAAAGTAGCAGAAACATATAAACAGCTGAGGGTTATCTACAACCCAAACACAGGGACTCAAACATTATCTATTATGCAAGCTTGCATGCGGAGAGCTTGCTTAGTGTATCCTGGAAGTTTGGCGCCTGCGCAGCACACAAATACCTACAAAAGTGCCGTGTAATGCGAGAGATGCGAAACTTGGCATTGCAATCCACAAGCTGCAGCATTGAATTAGAAGCGCCACACCAAGTTTCGCAAAGGCAGCATGCCAGCAGTGAAATGTGCCGCTGGTGTTTATAAAATGTTGTCCTGGCGCAAATTGGCGAAACAGTTCCTTACGAGCCGCGAAGTGAAGCAGTCCGACGAGCTGAGTGCACTCGCGTTCAATAGAAATAGTTCCGGCAGAATCCGTTAACTTACGAAAGTTACTGTAAAGAACGCTACTTGTAAACGGTATTAATTAGTTAAAAAAAAGAGTATTCTGAAAATTTTTACTTGTTTTTGTTGTCGTGTTTTTCAATATCTTCAATTTTGTGCTACCGTTTGCGTTTATTTTTAATTTTTTGTTGCTTTTGTTGACACTGTAAACTTTCGTAAGCGTAAACTCAACGCAGCTGGTTACACAAGCGTATGTGTGTTTAGCGTTTCGGTGGCAAAAATAAACATTAAACGTGTGTGTGTGTGTGTAATCAAATAAATAAAGTGACAAGAAAAAAGCAACAAAAGCGCGCAACACAAATCGCTTGGCGTGAATTTATTGTCGTTTGTGCAGCAATTGTTATCGCCTGCTACGCGCGTGAAGCTCCTCTGTGTGTTGCCCCAAATTTTATGGACTACATTCAGGCGCACAGCCGCTGATTTGCCAATTGCGCGCTTATCCCTGTGAGCTTGTGTGTGCGAGTTTCGTAAATTTTGGCGCGCAAAGCAAACGTTTTTGCGTTGTTATTGTTGTTGTGATTTATTATATGTTACTGTTGTTGCGCTCCAATGTTTATTGCCATTTCGACGCGTTCAATTGATAAGCCAATAAAACGGCTGCCAAAAATTCCGTTTCGCGTGCGGAGACTATGAAATTTAACGGAAAATAAATAAAAGAAACACACTGCTCTGCTTATGTTGTTGTTTACGCTGTGTGATCGAATCAGCGCAAATGCTTTGCATTCCTTATCATTTTTCCCGATGAGTGCGTTGACTTGCCTTCAGGCTTTCGGCCAGCCAGTGAAAGTGAAATATCAGCAATAAATCCGAAATCGTTTGTTTGATAAGTTTCAATTACGATTGGTGGCAATGTGTGTTTATATGCGCACAAACACACTCATACAAAATGTTCATGCAGCCCTTGCAGCTAACTCAATGACGCTGCCAAAACATCAGTGACTCAATCAATTTAATGGAAAGCAATCAAGTAAGTGTTGGAATAATAGCAAAGCAAACTCAATTGAATTTTTTCGAAAAATTGTTGTTGGTGTGTGGACGTAATTAATATGTACAAAAGTATCAAAAAGTATGAGTGAGGCTTGCTGATGTATATTTCCAATTTTTGAAAACTTTTTGGTGTTTTGATACTAACAAAATATTTTTTACGGAAGTAGAAAAGGCTGACACTCTTGAGAATAAAGAACAAGAAAAAACGTTAACGTTAAAAAACGTTCGGCTGCACCGAAGCTATAATACCCTTCACAGTGTTTACTTTTTATAGCATTAAATGGTAAAAAAAATCTTTAACTTGATTTTAATCGGTCAATTTAGATGGCAGTTATATGCTATAGCGGTTCGATGATAACAATATGTTTGGAGATTATAGCAATGCTTTAAATAATAACCTATAAAGAATTTGGTGAGCCGGCGTTTCCTTTTGAGTGCTACAAATATCGTGGCAAGCTTAATATGCCTTGTTTAGGGTACAAAACCTATTTAAATATTACAATAAACATTTCGTTCAAAAGTCTTTCTTTTTTTTTTGGCATCCATTTACCCAAAAGTAAATATTATTTCTAAAAAGAAAAACGGAACAATTGGGAAACATTTTTATCGGCTTTGAGAGAGTTTTAGGTTTTGCGCGGATTTTTGTTGGGCTCTATTATCTGCTTCACTAAAAGTCGCTTCCACATGTCGACACATATTTTTTTGAACAAATTATTTAAGAGAGATAGGGCATTTCGGAAATGTTGCGGCAATTCGAGACTACTCCTAAATGGTTAAGACCAAGCAGGTTAAAAAATATTGTTTTTAAGACTTAAGAGATGGAATAGAGATTAGAGGTAGATAAAGAGAGCATAATATAATTTAAATATTTGTAAAATAGTAGTAATGATTACAATATACTGGAAGGTGTAGAATACAAAATTTAATTCTTTTTATAACAATATTCTATATATTTCAGTATAACCTTTGAGTTTAACCTTTATTTTATAATGGACAGTTTGCGAAAAAAGTTTGGGAAATCGTATGTGGTTTACAAATACGACTTAAGTAGATTAAGATCACGTATTTTTCTGTCTCATGTAGCAAGAGTTCGCTCGGGAATCAGCGTTGCCCATAAAGGTTCAATATTATTTGTCTTTATGTACTCAAATATATCTTTATTAAACTAAAGATATTTGATTCCATTTTGCGTATTCCAAGTATAAATTGTCAAAATTAAGCCCTTTTTAGGACTCTAGACTATTCTAACTCCCAGTGCAAATGTTATTTCAGCTAAATTTAATTAAGTAAGAGGGAGTTTTGGGTACGAAATAAATATTTGTTGATATAAGCCTGTCGAACTGTGTGGCTAGTTTTTCTTCCAAAAGCCAGGTTAAGCAACTTTGACATGAATAAGTTCACACTGTGTTGGGGATTTAGTCATAGTCAAAGAACATACCTCTGAACAATTCCCAAAAAATTTTTAAATCATTATTATATATTTTAAGCACTAAAGAAGAGATTAGTGTGGACAAACTTATAAGAAACGGGTTTTAAGACAATTTTAAAAATTTTCCAACGTGAAAAAATAATGTATTAAAAATTTAATATATTTAACTTCGAATCGCAAAATAGTTTTAGGGTTAGTTCGTGTAAAGCAAGGCCCATTTTTATGCTTATTTTTATGAAACAGTTAAAATAAATTTTTTTTTTTAATCCAATGGTACTTATAGTATGAGATTTAAGAATAGGCTGTAGAAATTTCATGGAGAAATATTAAAAAATACGGCAAGGTCAGCAATTACTCTGAAGCGTCTAAAAAAAAAGTAAACATGCAGTGCCCTAATAACTTCGTGCTGGATCTTTCGTAATCAAAAGATGAAGCTTTATTCGTTAGGTGATACAAGTAGTTTGCTCCAAGTAACAACGTGAGGGTTTTGAAATTCCATTTTTTAATCATTTTATTTTCTTTGAAGAAAAAAACTCGATTTTATGCGAATAATTGGTTGGTCGATATTTTTACTGTAAAATAATAATTAACAACAAATTTGAACAAAAAAATATTCCCCAGCATTACCTCGTAAATTATGTATGGAAATATGGTTCAAAATTCCAATACGATCGGTGCAGTAGTTTTGATATCATGAGAAGCACCGACTTTGGAAACGTTAGTTGTGAAGAGAGCGCGTTAAAGTTTTGATATCTAATCTAAAACATTCATAAGATATATATAAAAATACTCACAATTTCGATAATTTTGCTTCAATCCATATGAATTTTAGACACAACGTTCTTGAGATTGATTATGAATTTAAAAACAATTCGAAAAAATTTAAAAATCTTTGACAGCTGTGGAACCTGCTATATTCAAGCCATGTCTAAATTTTAATTTTTTTAATAAGAGTTTTCTTAGTTTAAATAATTTAATATAAAATTTTGTTCTGAA